GTCCTATGTGTGAAGAAAAGAGGTTATGTTTAACTAATTAGTGATTGTAGAAATGGTGCTGGCTGGGCATGTTGGTGGCATATAAATTAGTATGGCTCTTCAAATGTAAAAATAAAATAGCCCCAAGAGACTTCCACTACAAAAGGCAAAAACAGCCAAATACATAAAAGGAGGTGTCGCTTTATGCCACTGTAAATGTAAGAGTTTGACATAGTTAACTAAACAATGCACTAAAATTAAAAGCATCTAAGTAAAAGTTTCTTTTTAACTCAAAAAATCATTGTCAGATGATCTTTCAGAACTTTTAAAAGACTAAATTTGTCATGAGAATGCTATTTTTCAACTGGAAAGTTGAACATTCTGAATTTAAATATATGACATATGTTGTTCTCTGATTTCAAGATACTTTGTTCACCTAGTGACATTTGATAAATGATTAGTGGCTGACTTATTAAACTTCCTAGTTCACACTTTATGAGGGTGGGGATATGTTGACTCCATACCCAACAAATAAATGGTAACACAGACTATTCTGAGAGGATTGGGAGAGAGCTATGTCAAAGCCTAAAATAAAATTGCCAAAATCTATCTGCGAACACATGGCTCTAGATTTTAGATCTACTCAAATCCGTCACACTCATTTTCGCAAAAAACAATTTAAATAGTTTGAGAGGCTTGAAGTGGCTGTAATAGAAAATAAAAACAAATTAAAATAAAAAGTTACTCCGTAGTTTCAGAAAAGAGAGTGCATCTGCTGCTTCCATAAGAGGGTTAAGGAGCTGGCGTCTCCACAGCAGGTGTCCTCTGTCAGCAAATTCAGGCTTACAACCTGGTGGCTCTAGCATCTCAGAAAGATTCGCTGTCCACAATTTCCTCTGCAGACAGAGAAAAGCTACATAGGCTTTCTACTCTCTCTGCACAGAAGTCATACATTCACTTCCACTTTCTCTTGGCCAAAAGTAATTCCATGGCTTCCCTTAACTAAGGTGGAATGAAAAGAAATATCTTGTATGCTCAAAAAAGGAACAAAACTCAGGTATTGATGTGCACTATTAGTATCTTTCATTCTATCCTTATGATTTCCAATAACTTGCTATCTCAGCAAGGCCGAAAAAAATAATCAGAGGCCAAAAGCAAATAAGCATAATTTTACCAAATACCAATTTGAAAAATAATATTAAAGGAAGAAAATTGCTTAAATGCACAGAAGATTTAACACGAAGGCCCGTCAAGCGAGGATGATATCCTATTGTGATACTGCTACTACTTTCAGAATGTTTGCACAAAATATCAACAAATCCATTTATGCACGTTTCTCACCTTTGGTCTCTAAACACAAGATTTATGTTCATACCATGACAGTTTACATCAGGATAGGATACTATTAATAGTACTAAGTTTAATCTTGGTATATTACTTTAGAATTTTCATGTCTATACTTACTAATGTAAGATAGACACATGTGAATTTTTCATTCCCTTCAATTTATACATGTAGTATAAAAACTTCGAAAGCACAGAGCAACAACACTCAACAACTGCCTGCTTGCCTGCCCATCTGTCTGCCTGTCTGCCTGTCTGTCTGTCTAGGGATTCAATCCCAGGGATTGGTGCATGCTAGCACTGAGCTACAGACCCAGTACTCAAAATTTAAATTTTTACTTTTGAGATAAATGGACACCACAAGTATAGTTGGCATTACTAAAAAGGACATAAAACAGAGATGTTTTAAGTATGTGTACCAAGTCCCCATAATGAATGTCATTACTATGTATTACAAAAACAGAAAAATAAAAAAATTTTTAAAAAGAAATTCTGTGTAACTCTCCAGAATGGAGACAACACTGAACATGTTCTTGGAAAATACATAGCACTGATGCATAATTTGAAAGAAATTCCATGACTGATGCTAACCATATGAATGTGATTTGAAATGTGCTTGTATTATTGTATCAGAAAATCCAAGCCAGCCAAGTTTCCATACTTTTCCATTAGAAAACAGAACTTCAATGAAGAAGTGAATGTTTCATTAATCAGTCTTGTCCTGCTGGAGGAGGAGGAAGGGGGTTTTTATAGACTGCTTCATTTATGAGTGACATAGTTTCATATGTACAAAATACATGCACACTCACAACTTGGGGTTGGGTTGGGCCAATTTTATTCTTCTTGAATTTAAATAAGCAGCCTTTGATTTTTCTTTACTTATTGTATAATAGATGGAACCTCATTTAACCACTAATGTATCAATGTTCTGGAGGACTACAGACCAGGCTTATTGCTCAAACATATGTAGAATTGAGTTTTATTTTTAAAGTACTGAGATAATAGCATCTCACTGTAGTTTGGAATCCAAAGATTAAATTGAAATTCTATATGATCTTCATGTACTATGTGACTGTAAATGAATGAGTGAACTTCTCTTACCCTTTAGTCTCGTCTCGAAAATGGTATAAAATGCTCTCTCTCTCAGAAGGCTGAGGCTGCATGGTTAGTATCTAGCTATGCACCTGATCCATAGTGAATGCTTGAAAGTTAAATTTCCCTTCAACTGTACATCATTGTGCATGTTATTATTTTGACCTTTTTAAAGGTCCAAACTCCAGGTGCAGAAAGTGAGATTTATGAATTGGAACAAATTGCTGTAATTATGCACATGGATATAAAATTCAGTGCATCATAAGCATTGGTTCACCTTATATAAGTGCAAAATGCTGCAATAATATTTTCTGTAAATATTTCAACTTCTGCATGTGATGTGAGTTTTTCATTATTGAAACAAAATTTTTTAAAACAAATTTTAACTGTAGACAGTTGCAGAGTATCATTGTGTTAGCTTGAGAATCATGTAAATGTAACATATTTTAACTTATCTAACATATTAGTTTGTATAATATCACTTCATTTCGGCACTACTCTGACTTACACTTTAAATTTATTTTCATTTCCCTCAACTGCAGCACAAATGCAGTTTTTTAGAGTGTGTCTCAATAATTCAGATTTCTTTTTTGGTTGCTGCTATTGATAACTCTTCAAGTCATTGTTTACTTTGCAAATCAAAACTGGAAAGAAGGTAATACAGAAATAAAATGTTGACTGGGGATTTAGCTCAGCAGCACAGGGCCTGCCTGGCAAGCGCAAGGCCGTGAGTTCAACTCCTGGCACCGGAAGAAAAAATAAATAAATAAATAACAGAAATAAAATGCTAACTTTGTCGTCTTTAAAAATGGAGGTAAAAGTCACATTGGAAAATATATATTGAATCTGATGAACTTCACTGATGATTAAAAATATGTAATATAACAAACACTGTTAATCCCTACCATTTTGTTCTGAAACACTGTATCATTCTTACTGTTTTTGTTTTGTTTTGTTTTTGTCTATGTTGCTGGCATTTTGCTATTGTTCTCTTTTATTCTCTTTAAAATAAAAAAAAGAAAATATTGATGGAGGAACTACTGAACACAGAGCAATGCATGAAATATGCACCAGTAGACAAACATAATGGCATTGCTATTTTGTTTAATGTGCTTCCAAATTTGCTGAAGGGGAAACATGTACACAGCACAAGAACTTTAGAGCATGTGAGAGCATCAGGAAAAATGTTAAACTTTGCAATATTAAAAGTAAAGACTTCAAGGAGAGAAGGAATTGAATACAATATTTAAACAATGAAGACTTTCAGAATAAAATGGGACTTTGATTTGGCCTGCAGTAACGAATAGGAAATAAATATGTGAGCCAGTCATTGGTCAAGATCATTTTGTTCCCAAAGGGAGAAGTAGCAGTGGTGGAGAACAACCACTTGGCCAGCTTTGAGATCTGCTAATTACTGAAGGAAAGTCTCTTCTGGATGTGTGGGGCAATTCTCCCTTTTATTCTATGTTATCAGATTTGTGGCAGAAGCCTTAGGCAACACTGTGAGAGAAGTATGTGAATAAGTTTGGTATGAGAATGGGTCACTTAATACAGATTGAAATGAGACAGATTAGAAAATGGGAAGCATTCCAGAAAATCTGCGTGTTGATTGACAACCAGAAGAGGACATTGACAATGTAAATAAAAGAGGTAAAACTTGGCAGAAAGGAAAGGTAAAGGAGAGCGGACCAAACGTAAATCATGCAACTAAAAAAAGGTCCAGGTTGAAACATTTTTTCAGGAATTCTAGCTTGGTTCAGTGTTATCAGTCACTCCCACACTACCAATGCCTCTGAATCATAAAACTTTTCAGACTATGAAATAAAAATATGCCTTATAATCTTGAGTAGGTTCAGAACATAGTTGGATCTCAAGGGTGAATTTGAAACTCATCACTATTTCAGTAATGTTCTGAGACAAAAGACTCCTGGATGGAGTCAGACATGAATGCCAAGCCTCTGTATGGAAAACCACACCATGTAACAAAAGCATCTTTTATTTTAACAGCCATTTTTTAAAATCAAATACAACATCTTCATCATGCATATAATTTATATCAGGTGAATGCTATGTAAATTTTAAGAGTTTCATTGTGCAAAAGAGCAGTGACTTCAGCATGCTTCTAGCTTTATAATATGAAAACTAAAATCTTTTACAATGTTGGTTATTTTCTCAGTTCCTCTGTGGTTTGTAGCTTTTTGCATATTACCTATTTTGGAAGAAAAATACTTACAGTGGTACTTTCTGTATCATAGTTGTATACTTCTTTTCCTAACTTATACTCTTTTGGTGGTGAGTTTTTGTCCTGAAAGAACAAATGTTACCCCTGCTTGGAATGTTCTCCTGAAACCAGACATTGAACCTCCAAAATGTGTCTCAACTTAAGTAGATCATTCAACAAGTGTTAAGATGAAACTGATCTTCTTAAAAGAGTCGTAAAAGAGTCAAATTTGGGAGATGAAAATAAGAATTTAGAAAAAGAGTTAAGCTTGATGCAGGAAGAAAAGCGTCCTCTAGATATTAATGGTGAAGGAAATAAAAGTATCAAAAAGCTAACAAGGACACAAAACCAAAGCTAAAACTCACCAGGTTTTTGAAGTCACCAGCTGATCCAGATGACCACGCCTGATAAAAATCACAACAAAGACAGAGAAAACAAGATGTTTTAGTTGTTTGTTTTTAAAATACTCAAGACAATACAACATTATATTTCCATAAAATATTGACAGGTATGGCAGTGAAATAATCTAGGGAATTACTTTCCTAGATAAATATATTTTTCTCGTAAAAACTATTTTAATATTTCAGTATATTATTCCATTATAACAAAGAAAGTAAATACCGTCTAGCTCCAGAAAGTATTTTTCTAATTATTCAGGAGACCATAAAATGATGCAGTTAATTCTCTCACTCTTAGAAGTAGGAAGAATATTATTAAATATATTTAAATTCTCCAATGGTTAGCACATACATTAAATTTTTATGGGATAAGCAGACTACAGCTTTATTTATGAAAACATTTATTTTTTAGATCTTTATTAGCTATCAGAGGATAATTAGTTGGGGCTTTGATTCACTTGTGAAAAGTAAACCCATGGAAGATACTATAATTATAAAAATAAAAGGCCTTTATTTTCCAAATTATATTAAAATGCAGCCTCTATTTTTTAAAGGTGTTTGAAGTACAAATGAAAGGCACTGTCTGAACAGCACAAATTCCCGAGAGAAGGCTTCGCAGCTGCCATGGGATGCAAAGGTTTTATAAATGTTGTCTTGTGTAAAGGCAACTGCAAACAGTACAAGGCCTTCGGTAAATATGCCTGCCTGCCTCTGTGTTTGAGCAGAAATATTGAACTTCCAGCCATTGCTATTATAAAATAAAGGCTATTACTTTTTAAACATTTGAGAATAGCCTTTCCTTTTTGCTGTAGGAATCAGGTTTGAAATTACATATTATGCAAGTACTAAAACACATGTCTTTTGTTTGAAATAGAACAAAGAATATAATAAATGTGAAAAAGTATTAACACTATTGGCCTTATTTGTGTGTCTGAATACATGTACGCATCATTTTCTCTGGGAGTGTAAATAAGGTTACTTACGTCCAAGCACAAGGCTCGCTGTAATGTCTGTCACACCACTGATTGGTAAGAAATTTTCCCAAATGAAATTCCCATTAAAATTCCTTTTCTAGGGCCTAAAATTATTCAACAAAGAAGGGGTTCACTGGGGAAGAGCATGTAAGTACCGAATCTTGCATTGTAAGAGCGTTGAGTTCTTGAGCCTGGCTTCCAACGTGCAAAGTGGATTAACTGGAAGTCTCGATCCCTGAGTCTGAGTTCTGTTTACGACCGCTATGGAGAATCTCTGGTAATTTTTCTTTTCTTTTAATATTTTAAGTTATTTATTTGTTGTGAATTTTAAACTACAAAAGAAAAGTACAAACAAATAAACATGTATTCCCTTTCCAGATCAGGAAAAAGAACATGAGCTAACATGGTGGCAGACACCTATAATCCCAGCATTCTGGGAGGCTGAGGCAGGAGGATCACTAATTAGAATTCAGCTTGGGAAACTTAGAAAGACCCTGTCTCAAAATAAAATATAATATAACTGGGGATGTAGCTCAGTGCAAAGGCCCTGGGTTCATTCCTTTCATTCCCCAGTGCTGAAACACACACACACACACACACACACACACACACACACACACACACAGCCAATATATAAAGGCTTGTGGATTACCCTTTACAATGTGTGTAGACATGAATCCATGGGCAGGGATTTGTAGGGTGGCTGCATTAATACCGCATGTTCACCAGGATTTCACATGACACACTCATTATGCATTGCCAGAGAGAGACAACCCTTAGAAAGCACCATCGCATACCTTTTGACATCATATTATTATTATTATTATAATCTCAATGAACTAATATATATATATATATATATATATATATATATATATAGCAATGTTTCCAGATTTTTGATTTGTATATTTTCTTTTGCCTTAGCCTTGAACTTTGTATGAGTGGGTCATGCAGTTCTATGCCTGGCCTCTTTCCCTTAACATATTGGTGAAATTCATCAGTCCCGTTGCTCATAGCTAAACTCCATTTTTTTACTCCGCTACAGCTGACTGAATGAATCTGCCACAATTTGGACATTCTGTACACCACTGGTAAATATGTGATTGTTTCCACTTTTTATTAGGAATTATCTCATTATGAGCATCCTTTTTATACATGTATGCATTTTTGGATATATCTCATGAAAACAATTACTAGATCCTAAATGTTCATATACTGCACTTCAGGAAAGAATGTATCAGAATGTGACAGGGACCCTCATGGCAACCTTTTCCAGGAGTTGCTCACATTCTGCCTGATTTCAGCCATCACTTTACTGTGCAGCAAATGGTACTGTACTTTTAACATAGCTTTCCATGACTACTAACTTTGTAGTATGTTTTCACATATTTATTAGCCATATATATTTAATTATTTGAGAAGATACATTTTTAAATATTGTTGGTGGTTTTCTATGGGCTGTCTTTGCTTTGTTGATGTTTAGAATTGCTTTAGGCATTTTTGATTTGAGTTCTTTGTTGGTTATGTGTTTTGAAAATCCACGTCCTACTCTGTGCCTTGCCTTTTGACCCATTTACTGTTTCATGTTGAATATTCTTATGTTTAATGTAATTCAACTTATCATTTTCTGTATTTTCTCTTTTCATTCCCTGTTTATTATATAAACATATGTTTTCTCTACTTTCTTTTAAAAGTTACAGTTCTTTTATCTTTCACATTTAATGCAAAAATCTACCAGCAGTGAGTTTCAGCCTTGTAAATTATCATGAGCTTCATTCTTTCTATTTTGACCAACAAAGTTTTACTTGAAAACATCACACTTTTCTCACTGTTCTGCATCAGTACTTTTGCCCTAAATTCAGTGCTCATGGATTCTTAATTATATTTCTAGACCTCAGTATATTTCATTAAACTATCTGCCTATATCACACTCTCTCACAAGCCTTTGTAATATCTTTTTATTTGATAAACAGGATTATTTTGCCTTTTCTGCCAGGAAGTTGACTACTTTTATATACAATTTACATAGTGTAACATTTACTGCTTTAAATTATACACTAGTGATTTTCAATATGCTTGCAATATTGTGGAAGTATCACCATTAATTCCTTAAAGCTTCCAATACCTGTAAAAGAAATGTTCCTATACCAGTCAATCCTGATTCTCACATGGCTTCTTTCGCTGGTAACCCCTGATCTACTTAATCTGTGGTCATGGACTTACCTTTTCTGAATATCCCATATACATGCTATCACACAGTATGTGGACATTTATGTCTGCTTTATTTTAATATAATGTTTTCAAGAACTAATACATGCAACAATCTTTGTTCCTTTTTATGGTTAAAAAATATTCTGTTGAACAGATATACCACATGTGTTTATCCATGTATTAGCTGAAGGACATTTGAGTTGTTTTCACTTTTTGGTTATGAATAAAGCTTCTGAAACCTTTGCCACAAGAAGTTTTGGTGTGTACATGCACTTTCAGTCCTCTTGTTTATGTACTTAAAAGTATTTCTGGATCATAATATAATCTAAGATTTAACTGAGAAAAATGTCAAAACTGCTCCTTAAAGTGGCTGGTTATTTTATATTACCACCACCACTGCATAAGAATTATAATTCTTTTCACATCTTTGCTAGCACATGCCATTTTCAGTTCAAAAAAAAAATAGTCATCCTCATAAGAATGCTGGTATCTCATGGTTTTCACTTTGGGTTTCCCTAAGCAAACATGAAGTTGAATAACTTTAATATTATTGACTATTTGTATATTACCTGTTCAGAAATGTGTATTTATATCCTTTGTCAATCTTTTAAATTAATTGATTTGTTTTTGTTTAGTTCAAAGTGTTCTTTAAGTATGTGGATACTAATTCCATATAATATATGGTTTATAAATATTTGCTTCTATGCCATGGATTCATCCTTATTTCATAAATTTTATTAGTGCTGATACTTTATTTTATATTAATCATTTGTATACAGAAATATAACTTTCTGTTGACATTACATGGAGAAACATTAGTAAAATCATTCATTAAAATGAATAATTTACCCCTATATTCTTTTCAGTTTATTATCTTCATATTCACATTATATGCAAACAATGATACTTTTATATATTCCATTTAAATCCTTAAACTTTAAAACAGTCAGTCTACATCTTCCTGTGCCCATGAATTTATTTATGTATGCACACAAGCATACATGTGTGTTTCCTCTTGTTGTATTATTACATTCACTGTGGCTGTCAGTGGAACACTGACAAAGTGGTTATTTGATAACTATCTAGTTTATCAGTTTATTCAAAAAACAAATTGTGGTTTTGTGGACTCTTGATACAATAGGCAATAAATATCTTTTATTATGTTACCTGCTGGTAGTCAATGTTTCAATGTTTGTGTTCTTTCAGTTTCGGTTCAATGTATTGTTTCCTCCCTAATTTCTTAAGATGGAGGCTTATTTTGATTTTCTGCATTTCTCTTTTGCCTTTCTTTTGAATGGAGATATTAAAGGAAATTTTATTGTAGCAATAGCTCAAATTGAAACAGGTTTGAGAACAAATTCAATTTACCTGCATGCCATTTACTTCTATTTACTTTAAAATGTTTAAAATAGAACACATCGGTCAGAATTATAGAAGTCTCCATCTTCAGTGGTGAAGAAGTCTTTTATTAAGCTTTTCAACCATTGTATTGCAGCTGGTTATTCAGAAGTTCAAATTAGTGCAGATTTTCCAGCACCATAGATTTATTATAGCATTCATTCATATGAACATATCTTCAGTGGAGCTCCCCGATTCCAGTAGTCTCACAGACTTCAACACTTCCCCTAGGGCTTGTTCTGTACAACTCCAGGACCCTGGGGGGGGGGGGCAGCATCTCAGGGCACCCATTCATGAGGAAGGCTACACCTTCTCCAATTGAGATTTTTTAGTTATTTGTACACGTTTGCAGTGTATGTAATTCACAGTCAGTTTGGGGAATGGTTACACGTACGTTACAGCATTTTTTTACTCCCTTTCCCT